CCCCCCCCAAAAAAAAAAAAAGAGAAAGAAAAAGAAAACCCCTCAAGTGGTTACTTTTTAGTCCTATAAATTCAACCTTGCCCCTTTCACTTCTCTTTCATGTTCTATCCATTCTCTACCTTCCCTTTCTCTATCCTTGTTTTTTTTTTAAATTTCATTTTTACCTTCAATTTGCCACCCTCATAAGCTTTATAACCTAGGTACATTTTAGAAACCAAAAATGGCTCAATGACATAGATTATTTATCCTCATTTAAGCATATGATTTTCTCAACGCTAAAAAAACTTCACATTTCTAGTTTCTAGTTAAAAGTAGACCAAATCCTCTGTTTTCCCCTGTTTCTGCCCTGTTCTTGCTCTGTTCATTTATTTATTTGCATATTGTTCTAAAACAACAATGACCTCAACTTCCACTCTATATCAAGGTCTGCAATCTTGTCTAGAGCCTACACTTCTTGAACCACATGTCTTAATGAACAAATTGCCTCCTCTTATATCAAATTACCTACAATCTACCACATTGCTTCAAATGTCTAATACATCTCCACAAGAAGCAGAAACTGAAGAAGAGAATGAAGTAAATGGCCTTAGTTTCAATGAACTGCAAAATCAACATGACAATAGTGACATGGGTTGTGGATGGAGCTTCATACAAGAACTGGAAAATCCATGTCAATACCCGAAAAAAGGCTATTTAGAGGACGAAGAAGTTTATGTTCATCCTCTGGAAAAGTTGTGTACTCTCAACACAAAGAGTTTGGAAATGTGCACTGAAAGCTTAGGAAGCGAAACAGGCAGTGACATTAGTGAAAGCATGGAAGAATTCTCTCCTTTCTTGTCCGAAAAAGAGACGAATTTTCACCGATCAAAAAGTCGAGAATTCACGAAAAAATTCAACAGGGCAAGTAGTTTTCCACCTCCTCTAACATCAATGAGTGGAAATGAAGGTGTTCAAGTTAGACCTCATCGCGAAGGTGGTCGTTTAGTATTAAAAGCTGTGATAATCAATTCTTGTAACTCTTATTTCCAAGCTGAACGTTCAGATGGTAGGCTTAGGCTTTCCTTGTTAAGACATGAAGAATGTAGCTATGGAGAAGAAGATGACGAAATTAGCCAAGAGAATGAAGATGAAAATGAAGATGATGAAATTTGTAGTAGAAAATTAGGAAGTCATGATATTGGGGTAGGAGAGTATGCAAGACCAAGTAGGTGCAAAGCAAGTGAGAGTAGGAATAAAGTAATTCCAAGCTGGGAGTCATTTTGGGTGGCTATTTCCTAAATGCTAGTATAGTACATTAGTACTCCTATTATTTATTTCTCATCATTGTTGCTACTATATTAATATTATGTTTTTCTCATTTTTAGTTTTCTGACTTGATTATGTAAACGGTAGTTATTATGGTTATTGGACATGCGATCCAATTTACTCTATTGTTAATTGGAACGCGTCTATAACTTTTTATTACAACTTCTTTTGTATGAGTTGCAACCATGTGAGGATACTGACCAAGCAACAATATTATTATTATAGTATTTCATATTTCTGTCATCACGAACCAACTACCATAACTGCAATGCATGAAGGTGAGGGTGGGGGAGAGCTGGGCGAGAGCATCCAACGTTTGAAATCATTGGTCCCAGTAATTCAGACTCGCGTTGCATAGGGTTTATTGATGGGAAATCACTTCCTATTAGGAATTTGTTTATTTCCAAAACTCAGATGAAGGGTTCCATCTAATATCCCACCACACTTTTTGGGGTAAAATTATCAATGGTCTCATCCACATGAAAATAGCATATTCCATCTAACAATTGGTTCTAATAACTGTTTCAAACATGGGAAAAGGGGGAAGAGGGCCCTTTTTGTTACTTGTTATAATCATCAAGATTGTACTAAGATGACTTTTCCCAACTAATGGCGTCACTTTTCCATCACTGATCAATAATATCTGTGAATATATCACATGCATGTCCATTGGTCCATTCCCACTATAGTACTCAATAGGGAGCTAATTTGGGACAGTTAACTAAAACATATATGGCAGCAATGTCCCTCATGGCTAATGCAAGTGGGGTTTCGTACTAGTGGTGTGTACGTAAGCCTTGTAACTGTCATTGCTTATACCACATTGGACTGGCATCATAGTCTGATGGCAAAATATCACATGTCCATGTACCCTAAACATTCGAGACCTACTAGGGTTTTGATAAACTTTGGACTGCATGTCGGATAAGTAATGCTTTTTGGAGGATCCAACATGGATTTAACAGCATTTTTTGAAGAGTACAAACAATATATTTGAAAATTATACTGCAACAATAACAACAACAACCCAGTATAATTCCACTAGTGGGGTCTGGGGAGGGTAGTGTGTACGCAGACCTTACCCCTACCCTGGGGTAGATAGGCTGTTTCCGATAGACCCTCGGCTCCCTCCCTCCAAGAACTCCCCACCTTGCTCTTGGGGTGACTCGAACTCACAACTTTTTGGTTGGAAGTGGAGGGTACAAACAATAAATTGTTGAATTCTCCGTGTAGATGCTATTGTGGCTCAAAAATATTGCTTTAGCGTGCATGTTTGAATCCTAGGTATGCCACTCTTAGCATTCCTAGCTCCTCCACTGATTGTGCAGGCATGGGCGGATATAAGCTAGAAGCTAACTAGTGTCTTTAGCTCAAACACTAGATATATGTTTAAAAATCTACTAAAATAAGTAAAAGTAAAAGATTCCGAACTTGATAAATCAAATGGGTTAGATAGAATTTCGAACTCGAATCCATAAAGTTGAAATTTTAAATCCGCTTTCTGTGGAGGTGGTCCTGGAGGAAGAAGCAGTAGGGTTGTTACTAGTACAAGAAGTTAGGTACTAAGATCAGACTGTTATCTTATAAATGTATGTGAATGTACAATGGGCCATTAAAGGGCAAAGGAAGAATGCTCCATATCTTTGGAAAGAGGACCTAAATGCCCGAGCGTGGACTCAAGCCTTCCATTCATTAAGGTTCCCTTTGATAGAGAAAGGAAAGCTCTTAACAAAAAAAGTTACCGCGAAGAGGAATATGCCTAACTGGTTAATAAATATACTGATATACAAGTAAAAAATCTAGACGCCAATATCAGCATCTCTGCCTAATATTATCTGTTTATTTCGTTATGCAAAAGAAAACGTTGTTTCAGTATATAATTAAAATGGGTTGGCAACATACTTCTAAAAAATACAGAAAGCATGGCGGTAAACATGGTAGAATTAATTACAGAAACATGAATTGAAAAGTTAAATCAATCATCACAGTCCATAGATCCAACTACCGTGAAAAAAATCACAGTTGGTTGCTCTTGGTTCTCTGAGTGACTGAAAAGCATCATTTATAATATTGTGAAGTACAATAAATCTCGTAATAAAATTAGTATTAAGTATCATTAATATAAAGAAAAATTGATTTGCAACTGAAATGTTTCATTAATTGTTCGTTTGGGTAATAGTCGTGACTTTTCGGATTGTTGTAGTCTGGACCAACGTTTACAGTGGTGTCTTTTGGGCTTTTACAAATATCACATAAATAAATCAAAATAAAGGAGAAAACAGCAAAAATTTGGGAAAAAAGATAACTGTGAATTCTGTGATTATAGCATGCCACATCACCTCCCCAATGCCCCTCAATTATATAAATATATAGATTACTTCCAATAAAATAGCAATCTTTAACATAGTTAAGTTCGCACTCTTCGTGAGATATTTTGATCTCCAATTTCACATCAAAGGTTTATTTAAGGTAAACTAACGGATTTTCATGATAGAAAACACTAAAAAATTAAATTATCAGTTGAGCAGCACACAATTAGGTCAGGTCTCTTATCATTTGTATGTCTGCTTTCTCTGTAAAGTGATTACCTAATTTAGAAATTACTAGCTTTAAAAAGGGACCCCATTTTATGGTCATGTGACCAGTCCCCAGGCGTTCATATGGTTGGGCAGAGGTTTCCATCATATACCAGAAAATTCGAAGGGACCAATAACAATTAAGTGGTCCATCTACTAGTACCAACTCTATATTTATTAGATTTAAATTATATACATCGACAATATTAATTTTTTTTATATCGTAGCACGTTAGTTGCCTCAATTTTCAGGTTATTAATTTCATACTTATTATAAACAATTACTTTTAGTTATATTTTAAATGTTTTAATAGCTATACATTATCAGTTTATGAAAGTTAATTAAGCTCCTTCGCCTGCAAAACACTAATTAGGAATTTCAGTTTTGCCGAGCAGGTCAAGACAGGTTTTACAAATTCTCAAACTACAAAAATCTCTGTTCCAATTTGTTTGCCATAGTTTGACTCGGCCTTCGATTTAAGATATTAGAGCACTCTGTAATGGCGGAGAGGGGTTTCGCCTCTAATCCAAACGATTTCTCTTCTTCTCTTAAGATATTTCTAACTTAATCGAGGGGAGTAGATTGAAGGAATTATCTCTTCTCCTACTGCTGCTCTCGGCCCCGTCCCGCAGTCGACCAATCTGCTGCCTTAACTTTAGAAAGATCGTTGTTGTTCAACATTTTTTTTCTAGAAGGAGGGAAAGTAAGAGAAGCGTGATTTAAGACCCTCACGGAGCGGTAAGGAGATTGATGAGTTTTTAATCTTCTTCTTTATGTATGAAATTACAGACATATAATGAATGGACGAGCCTTCAACTTCGAAGCAACTTCTTTTGTACTCGACGTTTAAGAAAGAAAATAAGGCTTTTAAAACTTGTGTCTTAAATGTCATAATATTAGGGTTGCTATAAAACTTTTAAAATTTGTGATCTTTAACTTGCCATAATAATATTTGTACTATTATAAAACTTCTCATTAAAATGTATAAATATATATATATATATATATATA